ACCTGGGCCAGCTGGAGCTGGACGTGGAACTGGTGCCTGAGGACGATGGCACGGCCGCTGCGGAAGGCCCGGACGAAGCGGGACGACCACGCCCGGAGTGAGTAGCAGGGCCCAGGGGAAGGAGCAAGGACCTGAGGCCTGAGGCCGCTTCAGACTGGCCAGGGTCCAAGGACCAGGACATTAAAACCTGACCCTTCCCTCCAAAAACAAAAAAACAAAAAACCTGGGTCCCATGATTGGCAGTGAACTTCCCAACTTCCAGGCGGGACTCGTGGCTCATCAGAGCCAGCTCTGCATCCCAAGTCCAGAGGATAGAGCTTCTCTCAGTTCCCAGGCCCCTTTCATGCTACACGGCACCTAGTCACTAACGCTGAATTACCCCTCCCCTGCAAGTCCCAGCTCCCATCCCAGGGTCTGGTCTGGCCTGGGCCTCCCTGGGAAGCAAGGTTGTTGTACAGCAGACAAAGCAATTTCACCTATCTGGGCACATTCCCATATACTCCTTACAGTGTCCCGTTAAGGAGGCAATCCCAGCCTCACCTCACCGAGGAAAAAGCTGAGGCGCAGAGTATATGACTGGGACTTGCACAAATGACAGCTCTAGGGTTAGGGCGGGGCCTCTCCGTTACCTTAGCCATCTGCCTCCGGTTTCTGTGGCCCATTGGGGAGTTCAGTGGACTCTCAGCCCAGGCAGGACCAGACCCTGCGGCTGACTGGGTGGGAAAGGCCTGTCCTACCTGGTAGAGCCCATGATCCAACAGGACAATCTCCACCTTTCCCGTGTCCGGGCCCTTGCGCACCAGCACGTTGCCCGGGTGGGGGTCGCAGTGCACGAAGCCATTGACAAAGATCATTTCACTGTATATCTTGCCCAAGTGGCGTGAGATCTGGAAGAGAAGGGTGTTGGGTGGGCATTGATGGGCATTAACACCTGTCTCCAAGACATCTACTCTGGCCCCTCAGTCTGGCCACTTTCAAGAGGAAGGCCAGGGGGACCAAGTGGGTCTGATCAGTCCTGGTGAAAGTGATGGCTTGACATTGCCAAGTTCTTGAGTGTAAGCTAGAAGCTAAATTCTCATCCAGTTCTTTTTAACATTAGCTGCACATCAGAGTCATCTGGAACCCAGAAATGTTGGGAGTGGTACCCAGGCATCAGTATTTTATCTTAAGTTCCCCTGGTGATTTCAATACATGGCAAAGTAGAAGAACCACTGTGTCTAGTTTCTCTGATGGCTGTAACACCCACCTCCTACACCCTTCCCTGATTTTTCTCTTCCCTGTTTCTCTTATTAGTCCCTCTTCACTTTTTCCCCAAAGTTGAATATGGGCTGGAAAGCTGGGTTGGAGGAGTCAATCCATCTGCACCCCTGCAAAGAGTAAGGCTAAGGGACTGAGGACCAGGGATAGGTGACCCCACCCGCTCCTGGCCAGTCCCAGGAGGACCCAGAATCACACAGCCTTCTTCCCTCTCTCTGCAGGCCCCTTTCATCACACCCCTCCCTGTCAGAGCCCAATGCTGATCTGATTTATGATGTCTGCACAGAAGAAATGACACTGGAGAGGCCGTTTAAATCATCCTGTCACTGCTGCTTTCCCTGCCGAGGCAGTCTTCTTATCTCTACTCTCTTTTTATTAAAGCTAAAAGCCTCTTCCCAGCTAGAAAACAGCTGCTGAATAGAGCCAGACCTGGGCCCATGGATGGTGTGCTGATGGGTTTCCATGGACAAAGAGATGCTCCACCCAGACACCTGACGTCCCAGGACACACTGCCCTTGGCATTTCTCTCAGCCTCAGCTGGACCCCATGGTCACGAACAAGCACATCCCAGCCAGAGGAGAGGAGCTGGGCTCATCGGGTGGGGAACACAGGATTAGGGTTTTAAGATAAAGACTCAACTGCTTTCCTTGACTACAAAGTCCTGCATGATCAAGTCCAGCCTACCTCCCTGGTTTCATCTTGCACATTGACACTCCAGCCATATTTGCTTTCTTGCTCCTCTCCAAAGGTCCCCATGCCTTCCAACTCAGGGCCTTTGCACGTGATAGTCCCTCAGCCAGAAGCATCCTTCCCCTCTCACCTTTACCTGGTTCACTTCTCTCTTTCTTCCCATCCAAGCTCAGCATCACCTCCCTGGGGATAACTTACCTGATCTCCCAGACTCGATGAGGTTCTCCTACCATAAACTCTCACAGAATGGTATACTTTACTTTCACAGCACTATTTATGTCACTATTTGATTACTGACCACCTAGGACTCTATCATAAGCTCCAAAGGTGGCAGGGACTGGCTCTATTTTGTTAAACAGGTTTATTGCGGTGTAATTTACACATGATACACTGGTTCCATTATGCATCCACTTGCCTGTAACAGGCCAAACATGTGAATGTAGGACTGTCTTCAACATAAATGAGACCTTTGTTTCTCTGGGTTTTTTGGTTCCTGCCTCTGATGCTCACCCTGACCCCATTGATCTCTTCAGAATCCCAGTTGATTACAATGGGCCCAAAATAAATCAAGAATAACACTACTTCAGTAACCATAGCTACCATCCTTATTAAAAATCCCCAAAAGAAAGTACAATTATGCCCATTTTGCAGATGAGAAATAGAGACACGTTCAGGTTTAACTTCCCCAGAGCTACATGGCTAGAAAGGAATAGAGCCAGGATTCAAACCAGGTGTGAGTCCACAGCCTTCTTATAACTATTATTTCTACTAGAGGCCCGGTGCACGACATTCATGTACTAGGGGCAGGGGGAGTCCCTCAGCCCAGCCTGCGCCCTCTCACAGTACAAGACCCCTCGGGGGATGTCCACCTGCAAACTTAGGCCCAATCCTCCCCCAAGGGGATAGGGCCTAAGCCAGCAGTCAGACATCTCTCTCGCAGTCCAGGACCCCTAGCTCCTTACCACCACTGCTACACTCGCCAGCCGTGAGTCCAGCTTCTGGCTGAGCGGCACTCCCCCTGTGGGAGTGCACTGACCACCAAGGGGCAGCTCCTGCGTTGAGTGCCTGCCCCCTGGTGGTCAGTGCACATCAAAGCAACCAGTCATTCCGCCATTAGGTCGATTTGCATATTAAGGTTTTATTATATAGGATACTGGCTCCCTCTGACTTCCACACTCCTCAACTGAACTCCGTGATTTTATACTCTCAGCTTCAGTAAATGGAAACGATACCAGTGCCACTCTGAAGGGGTTAGTGCAGCCGTGGGCAAACTACAGCCCGCAGGCCGGATCCGGCCCGTTTGAAATGAATAAAACTAAAAAAAAAAAGACTGTACCCTTTTATGTAATGATGTTTACTTTGAATTTATATTAGTTCACACAAACACTCCATCCATGCTTTTGTTCCGGCCCTCCGGTCCAGTTTAAGAACCCATTGTGGCCCTCGAGTCAAAAAGTTTGCCCACCCCTGGGTTAGTGAGAACTTCACGGTGCTTGGAACCTAGTGACCTCTCATCAGTGTCCCTATTGTTACTGATTCCTCATAACACTCCTGGGAGGGCAGCAGACTGGCATCACTGCATCTTTTTAAGAGATGGAGACACCAGGGTTAAAGAGGCTGTCTGGTCCTGACCAGTATGGCTCAGTGGATAGAGCATCGGCCTGCGGACTGAAGGGTCCCAGGTTCGATCCTGGTTAAGGGCATGTACCTTGGTTGCCAGCACATCCCCAGTAGGGGGTGTGCAGGAGGCAGCTGATCGATGTTTCTCTCTCATCGATGTTTCTAACTCTCTATCCCTCTCCCTTCATCTCTGTAAAAAATCAATAAAATATATTTTAAAAAAATAAATAAAGAGGCTGTCTGGACCCCTGACACTTACCCTATGTCACACTATGTCCTGCCACCACGCCAGCTCTCCAGCTCCCAACATTTCCCTTGGGTGAAATGAATGCACAGTACTCAGTGTCTGTTGGCATCTGGGGCAGGACTTTGCCCCGTGTCAAGTTCTCAGACTCAGGCTGGTATGTCAGGTATTCCAGAGCCACCATTTTCCATTACCGGGGAAAGGGGCCCGGCCTGAGCTGGTCCTGGGAGAACCAGCAAGTCCCCACCTCTGTGCCCCGAGAACCCCTCCTGTTAGGTGCTCTGGAGCTCCATGGAACCACACTCTGAAAGGCTGCGTTTGCCAAATCAATTGTATTTATTAACTAATAATTCATTTTTATTTGTCACAGACGCATATAAGGTCCAATCAGGGCTCCTGATCAGCCCAAGATAAGCAGTGCAGCCAGACTGAGCTGACGGAATTCCAGCCAAAGCAGAGAAATGACATTTCATTTAGTCTGGGCAGGCCTGTCATGGGGAGATGTATGATCTCCCTTAAGCTTTCTGAAATATTGCTAATCGCTCTGGGGCCCCTATTACTACATTGAAAGATGGCCCCCCAGGGTCTAGGAACTCAGGATGGGGGAGTCCTTGCCCAAGAGAGTGAGCTTCTGGAGGGGAAGGGGGAGGTGTTGCCCCTTACAGCTCATATACACAAGAGCAAAGCCCCAGAGCAGTCCTCCCCATCTCAACACCCCATCCATCTGCCCTGCCTGGGTGTCTCCATTTAGGGCCTGCTCTTGGTGTTCATTTTAACCAGATTTCACCAGGACAGGCAGGTATAGTAGGCAGAGACAGGAGGGAGAACCATCCTCTGTACCCAGCTCCACCCTAGAGTCATCTTGGTATTGCCATTTAGGGTCTGGGTGACCTGGGGGACAAGTCGCCTCCCTTCCCAATCTGAGTCTAAAGTTCCCTTAGCTGGCAAGTGGGATTAACCCTATCTGATAGTCTTCCTCACTGGGAAACCGCAAGATTCAAGATCAAAACATGATCACATATATGGACAAGTGCTTTATACACCAATGATTTTCAATTCTTTTCATCTCATGGCACACATAACTAATTATTAAAATTCTGTGGCACACCAAAAAATATATTATATTTTTGACCGACCTGATAAAAAAAATAGGTATAATTTTGATTGATTTACAAAAAAAATAAGAGTACTTACTTACCCTTTAAAAAATAGTAGTAATTACCTACCCTTTTTGCTTCAAAGTAGCTTTTTAAAAAATCAGGTATTTATACTTGTATATAAGGATTTCTGGTATCAGGAATTAAATAATCAGACTTATATGTGACGTGATATAAGATGCAACTCTATTATATAACTTATATATTTATGGTTCAAGACTGGGCATTCATACCAGATGGCTATTGTTGTATTGGCTGTTGTCATTTTTTTATTTGACAATCTAAGGCAGTGGTCGGCAAACTGTGGCTGGGCAAACTATGGCTCACGAGCCACATGCGGCTCTTTGGCCGCTTGAGTGTGGCTCTTCCACAAAATACCGACTTCTGTGCATGGGCCACGAAGTTTCAATCACACTGTACGTGCACGCCCACACGTGGTATTTTGTGGAAGAGCCACACTCAACGGGCCAAAGAGCTGCATGTGGCTCACAAGCCGCGGTTTGCTGACCACTGATCTAAGGGAAAAGAGGTGTCCGGTATTACACGCTTTAAAAATTCTCGAGGTACACCACTTAAAAATTGCTGCACTTCACTATAAGACACACAAACATGTTCATTTGTAATGGGGTAGCTTATTATTTTACCTTGTTAAAAGATATACCCCATTATCACCATCCAAGTATAATTTTCAAAAAAATAAAAACATGACCCTCATACAAATATAGAACGAACACATGTTGACAATTAGTTAACTCATCAATAAAGAACCAAATATGAAGGCAGAGTGGTTAAAGGAGAATTTCGAGGGACTGGGTGTTTATGGCCATTTAAACAGGAATAAGAGCCTACGATTCCTGAGTCAGAGGCAAAACTGGTTATTGTCCTATAGGGCAATAAGGAAATCACAACCTTTTGGTTA